TTCTAGGGGTCAAACACAGGGCTTTCTGCATTCTAATGAACATTCTTCTTCTACTGAGTTCTATCCCCAGCAACTTTTTTAAAACTAAGAACGGGTCTTTTAAAATTATGTGTATTTATTACTTCATTGACTTTTTTTTCAAGCAACTCCCCAGTTTCATCCAAATGTAGATTATTAGTTGAATCTAAATAAGAACCATGTTCCGTTTGAAACCTAACTAGAATTGTTCTTGTCTGTTGCTGCATGGGTCCTTCATTTGCTTGATCAGTTACACCAAGATAAGTTACATTATTTATGGCAACTGTGAAGGGTGTTGTTTCTCTGATTTCTTTCTCATCCCATTTATCACTTGTATAGAGGAGGGCTACTGATTTTTTTTTATTTAATCTTATATCCAGTCACTTCACTGAAGGTGTTCATCAGCTGTAGGAGTTCCCTAGTAGAGCTAAACTAGAGTTGTTAATATTTAAAAACTCCCATACAATTTATTGTAACAAAGCTGGATCTGATGTTAAAGATCAAATGGTAGAGGTCATGTTAGGACCGACTTGCTTGTGGTGTGAAAATAGTTAAGCTAGAAAGTGTTGAAGAGCTCTTGATTTATTAACTACCATATTATGTAATTTATAATGCTGTTTGATGACTTGAGGCACACTGGAATGACCTAGTACTGTTTAGACCGGAGGTTCTCAATCTGTGGGTCATGACCCCTTTGGAGGTAGGATGATTCTTTTACAGAGGTCACCTTAGTCCATGAGAAAACACAGATATTTACATTAGAATCCATGACAGTATCAAAATTACAGTTATGAAGTAGTAGTGAAAATAATTTTGTGTTGGGCATCGCTACAACTGTATTAAAGGGTTGCAACATCAGGAAGGTTGAGAACCACTGCCTTAGACTGTTAGGTATAAAAGTGTCTCCACTGACTTTTGTCTCTTTTATCTCCAAGACTTTCAAATATGACAAAGAGCTTAAGGGAGGAAGGGATTCTGTTTCTGTCTTCATGAGATGAAAATTATATTTCCAGCACAATTTTGTACAACTAGCTTAAAAACTTCAAGAAGATGGTGAGCTATCACTCTTTACCTAAAAGTTCCTTTCTTTTAAACATTTTATGGTATTTATATAATTAATTTGCCTACCTGATATGTGCTTTCTTTCCAGGTCCTAGACTGTGTGTCATTTGGAAATGACTCTTTTCAGTGTCTTTTATCATTATTATTATACAACATCATACTATGGGGCCACTATAATTCAAGTAAAAGGACAAAGGTATTTTTTTTATTTATATTTTGGTTTTTTGAGACAGGGTGTCTCTGTGTAACAGTCCTGGCTGTCCTGGAACTCAATTTGTAGACCAGGCTGGCCTTGAACTCATTAAGATCCTCCTGCTTCTGCCTCCCAAATACTGGAATAAAAGGCAAGCAATGCCACCTCCCATCTGTAGTACTGCTGGCAACAAAGGTGTTTTATATTCACAGTTACTCATAATTAGTTTCTTTAGAAGGCAGCAAAGGTTGATTTGGGGAACTATGAAGCTGATCATCTTATTTGGGCTCCTCTCTTTATTTCTGTTTATGTTCCAGATAAAGACTATTGTGAACTAAAAATCAAACATAAAACAATTGGCAAAACTGAGGTATCAGCCTGGTGTTTCAATCTGTTTGGTACAAACTAGTTTCCTAAATATGGAGGCTTTTAGATGAACAGGATCCTAGTCAGGCAGCTTTGTTTGACAAGAGATGAACTAGTTACCTAAAAACAAACAATCAGAAACTGCTTGTATTGGTACACTTCTTTAATCCCAACACTCGGAGGCAGAGGCAGGCCGATCTCTATGTTTTGAGTCCAACCTACTCTACAGAGGGAGTTCCAGGGCAGCCAGAGATACACACAAAGAAATGTTATCTTGAAAAATAATCAAAGGAATTGTGCATATGCATATCATCTGTACATGATTCACTAATTGAAGCTTTTGTCTTAACTGTGTATTAATTAAATGTAACCTTATATTGCCAGTAAACTTCAGATAAGTGTAATTTATTTTTTAATTTCAGTATGGCTTTAAATTTTGAAATTAATGACTCCTGACTTGTACATAACACACACACACATACACACACACACACACACACACACACACACACACACACAC